AAGAAAGTGGGAAAGCCCTACAATGTCAACGTGTACCAATTCGTATATGTGTTTTGATTGTCTGGTGCTGGTGTGGGGAATTGGGGCTGCCTTTGATTTTGCAGTTTTACAAATCTCACAGTCAAGTTGGGTAGGGCAATCCTTAGTGCATATGCCTCGGGAGAAATTTTGAGTATTGTCTACAGCAACAGTATTGGCATGTGCTAAACATCTGTGTAATAAATGGGCACAATTATCATGTAAAGGTTCACCTATATGAGTTTGAATTTTTGTTTTTGAGGTTTGTTGGTTTTGTGATGTGGGTGAATTTGGAGAGAGGTGAGGTGTGGTGTGTTGGTCGTTATGTGAGTCAGAAGTGTCATGTGTATTGGTATGGTGAGGTGTGGTATGGTCGGGATGATTGTCAGGGTCAGGTCTCGATGAGGATTGAGGTAGTTGGGTCGTAGGTGAGGATGATGTAAAGGAATCTGGAATAAGAAAAGGTAAATCATTAGCAACAATAGTGTTATCATGTCTGGATTTTATAAAACCATGTTGATCATCAAGAGATACTTTAAAACCCACTTTACCTAATTTTGAAGTACTCAAAATATTGTGGCCAAAGATAGGTGTATAGAGCACTTGACTAATGTCCCCTATACCAGGTATAAAGATAGATCCTTCATATTCAACTGTATTGGAAGTACCATTTGCTGCTGTAATAGAAATATTGGTTGGGTGAATATCATATAATATGGATTTGTTATTGGTGGTATGGTGTATGCTTCCAGAATCGATGACCCATAGGTGTGTGGTGTCATGCAGGTTTTGTTGGGTGTTGGGAAAGATGCCAAATGTTTGGGAATCGGAGTTAGAATATATAGATTGTTCAGTATGTTGTCCCCTTCTGTCTTTATAATCTTTGTGTGTGGGACCCTTTCTAATGTAAAATTCAGTGGGCATGGAACTTTTAGGTTCAGTATGTTCTTTGATAGTATGATTTCTTTTGTTAGTCTTGTGTGTAGGGATGTATCCCCTTGTATCATGAGTGTGGGTGGTGTTGTCACCGTGTGGAGGATGGGAGTTGAAGGTATGATAATGTCCTCTATAGTTACAATGATTAAAATTATTTTGATATTGAGAGAAACTGGTGTTTCTGCCAGTTTTGGTAGAAGGGTTTGTGTGAAGAATGTGAAGGATGGGAATCATGTTTAGGGTAAAAAGGGTGGTCAAAAGAAGTAGGGTATCTATCAGTATGATAGAGTCTTCTATCTTCATCTATTAATTTGGATTTGATTTCAGCAACAGTGTACATAGGGGGGGGGGTAAGGAGTGGAGACTATTAATGAATCCTGACCAACCAGGGATGTGTTTAATAGAATTGAAAATGATACCAATCATGACAGTTTCAGGTACAGGATGATTGCGTTGATACAGTTGTTTTTGCATGGATTCGAGGTGGAAAAGATGTTTGGCCATAGATGTGCCAGGTTTATATATGGTGCTATAAAAGTCACCGGCAAGAGTAGCGATAGTTGCAGGCGAGGGTTTGTTGTAATGTTTTTGTAAGTATTGCCATACTTCTTGTGCAGTAAAACCTGTAGGTATAGAATGAACAATATCACTTTCTAAAGTTGACATAAGAGTGGCATAAACACTATTGTGAAGGAAAGTTAAGTCAGATGACCAAGGCTTATTAGGGGGAGATTCAATTATAAGAAATGTGCCTTCTTTTAAAAGATGTAAATGAGTTTCTTGTTCCCAAGTAGGGAAATTATTACTTGAGGTTTGAATTTTTTTGGAGTTTGGTGATAAAGGTAATGGGCCATGTTGTTTAAAATGTTGCAAAACAGTTTCAATTTCTAAAGATAAATTTACATTAGTAGATAAAGACAAAGAATTATTAGTTTCAATATTTAAATCATTACAGTTTACAGTAATAGAAGGCTGAAATGAGTTACTGTCAGCAGAAATAGGTAATTGAATGTTGGATTGTTGATTGGAGTCGTTTGGTGTGAGAGAAGATGTTATAGGTGATTCAATGATAGGAGGAATAATGGAGGTGGTGGTTGTAGTTTGTTTCGGAAGAGCTGCTGCGACGGCGTCGGCTGCTGTAGAAGATAGGTTGGCTTTTGGTGCAAAGGCTGCAAAAATCATGTGAATTTGTTGTTTGGACGGGGCATCTGTAGTGTTGGAGGCGGCAGCGGCGGCATCTTTGGCGATGGGGGGAGCGAGGCGGCGGCTGCAAAGACTGAAAAGGATCTTTGTACATTGGAGACAATATTGGTATCAGTAGAAATATTTGCAGCTGCTGCAGCTGCAGCGATATAGATGGGGAGGTCTGCAGCGGCGGCAAAAATAGAAAAGTTCTAAAAATTGAAAAAGAATTGAGAGGATTCGAACTCGGTGCTCTGGATGAAGAAGGTAGGGAATCAGTCTGAATATCTCCAGTTGTGGGGTGGGTAGTAGGATGTATGGGGGTAAGGGGGTTGGTTGAGACCTTATGGTCTGAAATGGTAGACGTCATTTTGTTTAAAGTGTGGTCATATAAATTGTCGGCCATTTTGTGGACCGCATGGTGGAGTGTGGGGGGTGGCCATTTTGTCGGCCATTTTTGAAGCCATGCTTTCAGGGAAGGTGGAAGCCATATTGGAAGCAATAAAGTCAATAGGTGGGGAAGGAGGATTTTTAATATAATGGGTGTTTAAAAAGTCAGTCTGGGAATCTATAGGTTGAAGTAAAAAATTGTCGCTTACCAGGTCTGGTGAGGTTGAAAGGTTGTTTAACAGTTCAAGAGTTCTTTGAGGAGTCCAGCCTGCATTTAGTAGGCCTGTCGCATATAAAGCTTGATATAAATGCTATTTTGGAGAAGCTTGAGAAAATAAAAGTTGGTCTGAAGTTATAGGGTTGGAACATACAAGGGATTCAGAAGGTTGAAGTCCTTGATGATAGTCATGAGGTGGAGTAGAATTGAAATCGAAGCAAGATTGTTGTAAGCATGGTTCTGTTCTTTCGGTGTTCGGGTGAAGAGGAGAAAAAAAAATTGGGTCCTTTCGTAAAGAGGTTTGTACTTGCTGCGTAGCTTCAACAGAAAGTTTTTTTAGTCTTTTGGATAATGATTGGTGCTGTTTTGTTAAGGATACGGTTAATGCATCAATCTCTTGTAAAGATAGTTCATTCAGGTTCAAGGATTCCATGTTAGGAAAAATTGTTCTATGATTTTAAAATTTACAAAAAATTCATAGACCTGAGCAATAATTTTTCGTTGTCTGCTACCATTTATCAGATATATATTGATGGTCGTGCTCATTTGGTTCTATGAGGAAGTTATTTGGTCAATACAGCTTCAGGTTCAAAAGGTTGTTTTTATTATTTACAAATATATACATGCATACGATAATGAACAGGGTGTCCTGTTACATTTTTACCCTAATTGTATGACTCAGATGTTGAGAGGAGAGAGAAGTTCACGTGTTGTCTCGCTGAGAGATAGATGAGAGAGAGAGAGAGAGAGAAAAAGGGGAAGATATCCAAGTGGTTTTTAGGTAAGAGTCCAATAAGAGAGTTCATTGGCTGATATAGTCACATGTAATGTCTGTAAAGACTAAACCCCTTCTAGTCTCTGGTGCATCATATGCAGGCAATATCTGACAATGGTGTTTTCTAAAATCCTTAGAGCCAAAGATCAACAGAGCCAAGGAAGGCTTTACCTTCCTTGAAAGAATGAATGGCACTTCTCATGTGTTTGTTAGAAGTAAGCAAACAGCTACATTTTACATTTGGAATAGAGTGTTGTAAAATGTTTGACTTTTGACTTCATGAAAACATAGAATTTTTTTTTCCAAAAAGAGAATCAACTAAAACTGAACTTGTTTTTTCTCCACTGGATCAGAAGGGCTTTTTACTGTCATTTAGACAGAAATCTTATAAAATGAGTTGAAATCCAATGAAAGTAAATGAAAAGGAACAAAAGCAGTCCTCTGTATGTTTTGCTATTTGGAAATATGTTAATTCATTTTATTCCCTGGAGTATCTTCTTAACACACATAGAAAGATCCAAGTTAAAATAGGTCAATATTTTTGTGTGTAGGGATGTCTGCATGCTTTCAGAAATGTTTTGCTCTGCATTTACCTTGAGGAGACAAGTCAGGCAGGAATGAAGACATTCCCTACAGACACTTCAAGGTCTGATTCTCTTGCATATTAGCATGATGGAAAAGCCTGAAAGCTTAGCTTTGGTACTGAGCTAATCTAAATAATTTCTAATTTCTGCCCTAGAAAGTACTTTTTTTTTTCATTTAGGTAACATCCAACAAACCTATGCATGCCACTAATTATTTTAAGTCTAGATCCTCTAAGAAAACAAATTAAATATGCTACAGACTAAAATGGGATTGTGCAAACCCAATCAAATATCTTACATATTTGAAAATAACCCTCCAGTAGGATGTCCCCCTTTGCTTTTTTCCTATATTGCATTTGTCTGCTGCAAATTGCTTATCAGATGGCCATATGGAAGGCTGGGATGCTGGAAGTGGGTATGCAAGGCAGTAGAATGTGACTTCACTGGCAGGAGAAGAACCAAGGAAATGATTGCTGCTTTGTGATTAAAAAGAGATGTGGCGGTAGGTCTGAATTTCTGTATTACAGAAAAGGGAAAGGCTTCTCCTTGTTGTAATGGAGCCATTAACATCTATTAATAATGCAAACAGGGTAAGTAACTGGAGTTGGCACTCCCAAGGGATTGCATGAACCAGATGTGTAGTGTATCTTCCCGGATTTGATGGCTGCTGGGGTCGAGGGAGTCGCTGTGGTTCCTGTTTATTTCCTCTGGCTATGATTTTCTAATTTAAATGCCTCTGTCTGCTGGCTACAGTGAGCCTGCTGTGGGGGTGGGGGCGTATATGCTAGAGCAATACGATGGTGGCATGCTGGTACGGCATCCCATGCCTAAAAAGGGGTGCAGACTTCATCTGGAGCATCTCTAACTGACTCTTTCACTCTTTCCATTTTCTTTATAGAAGCCTTTTCCAAGGCAGGTGACAGAATGATTTCTCCTTTTGTTACTGTCACAGAAAGGTAAGTGCCTGTCTCTTTCTGCCTAAGAAACATTGCTGCAGAATGGAATTAATGTAAAGGAGCTGGTCCTATCCAAGCTGGCTCATTTGACACATTGGCAGTCCAAAGAAGCTTTCAGGGAAATAGCCTTTCCTCTTTTTCCACAAGTCCAATATTACAGTTTGGATCAGTTTGTTTTGCCCCAACAGCTGTCTAGATAGACCACAACGCATGGCAAACTCATTCTGTGTGTGCATATATATGTGAGCATGATTGTGTGTGCGCACACGTGTGCATGCACATTTTCTAACTATTTCAGGGTAAAGAATAATGTAGGACCAGATTTTATGAAAAAGAAAAGAAAAGGCACTTCACTGGGCTTTCTTTAAAATTCAATTTGCACTTCTTAAGAGTGTCAGTCTGAGTGCAGCTACAAAGGCTTTTGTTCTGAGTGCTAATTTTTAATAGGCTGTATATAATAGCAATTATTTGCATGATTCAGCAATGGGGAAGCATGGTTTAAGGCAAACAGCAAGTGAAAATGTCTATAGTTGCACAGCTGGGTTGCAGCATTGTTTAATGTCTTCCCAGTATAATGCATGGAATGCATTTCCGGAGACATTGTCAAAAGGCATATTTTAAAAACCCTGATCCTGTCACCATGCTTCATTTGCTCCTAGGCAGCAGGAAAATCATACTGAAAGTTCGAGAGTTCAGGGAAACAACTTCTTTAAAGGAGCAGAGTAATTTCAGTATCTGTACATGCATATTTTGTTGCACAATGTTATAGAGTGTAAAGGAAGGTCTATTGTGTTCACATCTTTCTTTTATCTTAAAGCTCTCTGTACTTGCATGCAACTGTAGAGAAATATATTGGATATCAACTAATGAAAAATGAAAGGGATATGGCCTGGAGTTATTTCTATAAAGATGATGCATAAAATATTTGCATTATATTATTTGCTTTTTTTAAAAGGACTAATTGTAATTATAGGCATAGTAGCCAGAGAATAAGGAATTGATATAATTTCTATTTATTCTGACTATACTTCCCTTTTCCTTTCGAATCCATAGGTTAAAATTGTTCCCATATAATAGTTGCATTTAAAAAATCTGTTTCATTACAGAGTCAAAAGGTTTTTTCTTTTAAATTTTGCAATTCTTTTACATATTGAATATTTTGCTCTCTTTTGCATGAAAATCTTTCTAAACTGTTTTAACTTTGTGCACATTTTTTGCAGCTTTTATCTAAAACATTATAATAGTCAAGAATATTTGTATGGCATAGGAAGATGAAACAATATTTGGGACATAAATCAAATGCAATTCTGAGTTCTTGAACATAGAATACTATAAGCAACATGAAGAAGTAAGAAAATATTTATATGTATTTTTAAACAATGTTTTAAATTGTTATATCAGTTCTGTTTTATTTTAAGTTTCAGTGATGGCTAAATTAATATCAAGTCATCAGATCAGACCTGTGGCTATTGTTGGAAAATCTTTCTCACACTAGTCTAAATATGAAACAACAGTTATGAAAAATGAGAATTATCTATTTAGACAACAAAGCGATAGAAAATATAACATGCTTATCTATCTTTATAACAGTGAGTAAAGTTAAGAGTATGCTACAATTGTTGATGATTTCTAAATTATGCATTGAAAACTGAATTTTGGGGATGGTAGATACTTAATTTCTATTGATAATCTAATACATAAAACTTTCTTACCCATTTCTGTAAATTTTCATAGAAAATAGAAAAGATTAGCTCTTTATAACTTTGCCTCTAAAATTATCTTACTGTTTGGAAAATCCAGTTTAATACCATACAGATTCAGGTATTAAGTAAAGAACACATACAGCAATTTAAAACATTGGTTTTATCTGATGCAAAAAATTAAACTTAATATTTTGTACCTCTCTGAAATTATAGATCAAGATAGGTAAAGGGCTATTCCAGGCTGATTGCTCTGGTCTTGAAATATGATCAAAATTATTAACACATTTAATGCTGCATTTTATTGTTGCATTTTGTAGCAATTTCTGTTTTGTTGTTAGTTAGGATAGAATTCTGTGTACCTTTTTAATAGTAAGGATACTTTTTATTTAAGCAAGTGTAAAATTGAAAGCAGATACTATATACCCACATCTTAAGATTTAAAGAAAATGTTATAAATTTATTACTGAAATGTAGTGAGTAGTAATAATTGTACCTGCTGGTATCTTGTCATAAGTGACTTTTTAAAATAGAACATAAATGAAAATAAAGATGTGATTTTATTTTATGTGTATGTGACACACCTATTGCTAGAAAGCTATGCTTTATAGGAAACAAAGGAAAGGAGTGCTTTCCTTTGTTGATATTTATCAACTTTTTGCTGACAATATTACTTGATCCAAAAATGTTTTTAATTATCTCCATGCATTTAGGTTTGGAATAAACAAAATTTTTAGCATGGATCCAATTTTACACAGCAGTAAGGATTACCAGCCCTGTGATAATTTTTTCCAGTACATTCTTATGCCATAAAGATTGAGTGCTTGTATATGCCATGCATACATATTTAATTTTCCAGTAGAAAAAAAGTGCAATGAAATATACTGTGTTGTCATCAAGATAAGAATCTGTATAATGATGCCACTGTCAAATTTGAATTAGCTCTTCTGTTGAGGATGGGGGAGTTTTTAAGAAATAACAAATTATTGTAACATAGGATACAAAATTCAGTTTCTATATATACAATGACTTATTTTTCAGGTAGTGATTTTCAGGGTTTTTTTTCTGGACCACTTCATGTTTTGACTACAATGAATATGCTTTCTATATCCATTTTGAAGGTTGTCAAAATAAAACTTTTCCTGCTGTTCATCCAAGAAATATATAAAATGAAATCTCATGGCAGTATATCTATGTTAGGTCATTAGGTATGTTTAATATCATGTTAAACTTGCACATTCATATTCTTTGCTTGTCATTGTGATGTTTTTATTTATTTTAGAAATGGTTATAGTGCCCAGTAACATGGTATAAATAGAATTGGTTTTATGTAAGGAGGGGGGTGGGGCTGTAACTATTAGGTACATAGGAAAACTTTGGAGTAGTTTTATTTGTAACCAACTTTGCCATTAAACAGAGTGAAGCAATAATTTTCAGTTTACAGATTTATCAAACAATTGTGAGTTTCTTCTGGCTATTACTGCTGAACTTGCCAGCTGCTCTGGGTCTTTGAAAAGTGGCTCAGGATATGCATTTACAGTCTGTCCTTGTTCTTCCAGCTAGTCTGCACCCTCAAAGGTAGGGCAGCACCAAGTTATTTTTCACTTCAGGCAGCGAATATCTCTGGCTGGTCCTTCCAAAATAAGTCCTGGTTTTGGGAATTTTTTTCTTCGAAAGCAGCAAAACGTAGGAAATTACAAATGCGTCTTAGAATTATAATTTAGTTTTTACTTCACTTCATTTATAGGTAAGTAGTGGTAAGCAGAAAGTAGACCAAGCAGCAAGGGCATCCACAGCAGTGGACATTGGCTCCAAAATGGTGGAGGTGACATGCAAGCAAACACCCTATCTCTTTCTATATTCAAGTAGTGTTAAAAGGGAGAGAGGCTTTAATTGCTTGGTCATGCTTGCTTTTTTTTGTGATCAAGGTATCTCTCCTGGCAGGTAAGTATTTTTTTTTAAGCTAATCATCATTGCTGTGGATACCCCAAGTGATTTTCTTATTTCTTATACCCCAGTTTACAAACCAGCCTCAAAATCATATAATTCTGTAAGGTAGGTTTCTTTGGAAAGTCAGCATGGATAGAAAGAAGTTGAATTCCTATCCCTACAGCCTAAGAAAATAGATTTTCTGATTCGACCGGAAGTGTCGCGGCAAGACAGTCGGGAATTAGCAGGCTCCTATGAGCCTTGCAAAATTCCGGGCTGACAAACAACTGTCGGGGGGGGGGTGTCTTCAGACCGGATCTGTCCTGTAGGGATGGAGAAGAAGGAGCCCCTCGGGTGACCAAGAGGAACAGGCAAGTTCCTCAGAGGTCGGATGAAACACTTCAACTTGGCGGCGGGGGTGGCGGCCATAGCAGTGGCCATAAAACTGGTGCAACCAGACTAAGTTCTGAGCAGGAGCAGTAATTTGGAAAGGGTACTGGTACGGGGTGAGTGATTGCCAGCTCATAGGTAAAAAGAAAATAAATCTAAATTGTTAAAAGGTGCCCCAGCTAAGAAACAGCAGCTAATGGGCATGGGGGAATGTTAATGGAGAGAGAAAAACAAAGCGGAAGTTTAAAATGTTAAAGCCTGATTTTTGAATTAGAATGTGAGTGGAGATAATTAAATTATTAGAAGAAGAAATCCGAAATAGTTGTGAACAGGGCTGGAAATAACTTTTAAAATTTTGACCATTGAAGGAAGAACAAAGAAAAACTTAAAACTAAAGTCCTGTAACAGAAGTCTTTTAATTGGATTTAGAACTGGATTTTAAATTGGATTTTGGAGGATACAAAATTAAGAAGAAGAAGATGGAAATTGGAAAATATTGGCAATGTGGATTTAATAAATAAATGGATATTTTCTTAGTTTGCTGATTGGAATTGTGGATTGGAGATAGACATCTACGGGCGTAAAAAAACAATACAACGGTTAATTGTATTTTGGAAAAAAAACTTTTTAAAGTGATAAGAGTGGTGGGAACTTTTGAGGAGGATTTATTTTCTTTTAAGCTGTTTGATCTTGACAACCAAAGAAGGTGGATTATAATAAAACTTAAAACTGGAACAATGACAACCCAGAAACAACAAAATGGCGCAGGAACTAATTGAAAGGATTAAAATGATGCGTATATCATTCAAATTGGAATTAAATGAAATGATTATAATGATGCATGGAAAACCTAAGCCTGATGAACTAGAGACTGTGTTAGAACATATCCAAGTGAATAAAGAAACTATGAATGAGAAGCAAGAAATTAATATTGAAGATAAAGACATTGATTAGGATTATGTGGAGAGTAACAATGAAAAA